TACCTTGCAAGTGCTAAATCTCAGTTTGTGGGCCTCTCTATGAGTTGTGGACCTCGAAATTCCCCTTCCAACAGCGTCACCCTACAGAGCACTTAATTGTAAATAATTGGCACGCCTGTTTTTCACGATTATTCTTCTTAATGCTTTTCGGTCGGCATTTGTGATATTACTTTTTTTCACATATCGTGGCTTAATATTAACTGAACCAGTTACGTTATACCTTCTAACAATATTTCTCACACTGTACCGCGATAATTGAAATGAAAATAGGTTGATATGTTGTAATTGCAAATTTGATTAGGGAGTGATAAAGTTGGTGTTTTCTACTATATATTATCAAAATATTCATTGTTAATATTTTAAACCTATAACAGCCCGCTACATTTTTATTATTTGTGTTTGATAAGAAAAAGACAAAGATTTCAATAGTTGGGCCAACTGAAGTGGGAAGGGCCTCGTATGTGATATGTGAAACTTTCAATGCAATATCAAATTATTGTGATATACATGCTGATAGTTTGAACAGCATTCTGGGAGTAGCTAGAAATTGCTTGGATAATTTATGATATGTTACTCATCTGAGTGAAATATGTTTTTTTCTACTTTTACTTGTTTGTTTTTTCATTAGATGAAATCGCCTGCTTTTCTTTTCTGTTCTTGTTATTTTGATTTATCTTAGGATTGTCCTGTAAATGGTTTCCTTAGCTGTTGGGCAATAAACGCTATTTATTATTATAACACCAGCTGGTAAAGGACCTCTAGGTCGCCCCCAAATGAGGTGGCGAAACAACTTGGTCAGACCTATCAAAAATGGACAAGCTGACCCAGGAGGTCACACGAGATTAAGGCAAATTGTGAAGTATTATACCCAGGGTTGTAATGCTGTTAGTAAGTGAAACCCTGTGGTAAGACTTTCTTCACGTCACTGTCCAAGTAGTATACATAACACACACATACGCGCATATTATAAAGATACGACCGCCGTCGCCGCCGACGGTTTAATGCACGCCCACGTCCAGACGTTGGACTGCGTCGGTTCCCATGACACAGAAACAATGCAAAACTGTACCAAATGCAGACGACTCAAAAACACACGTGTTGCGACACAACACATCAGACACCGACACGGCTTTAATGGACTTAACTCCATCAGATCTACCAACGTATCGGAACATACTCGATTGTAGTATATGGTACTGACCCAGAAATATCGCGTATTAGTTGAAAAGATCAGTGGTCATGTTAGCAGTCCCAACATACGTAATTCAGACAATTTGAGGCCATTGAATTATCCTAAAGTACCGGTAATAGAAGAGCCTGGTGTAATAGGGTACCCAACCCACATTTGAATAAAAAGCACATGTCCATCTAAAAACGCCTGAAGTTGATTTTTTGACAATCCAACGATACATGTCGCTAGACTCTTCATGTTGAACAACGATATCCCACATGCATAAACATAAAGCTTTTCAGTTAAGCAAAAATAAGACAACATTCGTATTCTAACGTTGTATAGATTTCTTCAAACTGTCTTAATTACCTTAATACATATGTGCATAATATGCATTTATTAGTAGCAAAAAGACACATGAATTGAGAGTTTGTGTCAGGCATAATGGACGAATTACACGGTTGATAATTGAGTTAGCACGGTTAAATCGTGCCTTTTTTTCATCCTTAGCACTGCTGATGAAATCACACGTGCTTAAGGCAGGCATTTGTGCAATAATTGAGGCAATGAAGGTGACTCCTTCACGCAAGCACATACGGCAAAGTGTTGCAAAACGACAAAGTTACAGACCGACGACGGCGACACGACAGACAGTTTGTAATAACATCACTCAAGTAAATTGCTTGTTAAGTTATACTCATTGCTCACACGTGATTACAGATTACAAACACTTTTACCAGAGTGTGATGCGTTAAATTTAAACGATTTCTTCATATGTCATTGATGATTGTGTCTAGCAGATCAGCTCAGTATTAAATAAATGGCGCCCTTATCAGTTCATGAGGCAGCACATACTTGAGCTTTGGAAAAAAGAGTAAGTCACATTTTCGCTAGCCTACCGGTAGTACGGTCCATCTGACAACGTCGCCTCTTCCTAATACCTGATAGCATGATGACTCAGTCACGGCAACACGACGCAGCGTCAATCATCCGATGGTACATACGAAGGCCGATGCGCCGGGCGGTGAAGCCAGATAGCAGATGTACGCATGTCGAAAACATTTCTCCATCGTTCTAAGTGTGTGAAATATGTTTAATAGGTGTGAAGAATTAGCACATCTGGAAATATCGCTCCACTCCGATACTGAACTCAGTCAGACGAGGCAGCGCGGTCAGAGCATAGAAAACACTATGCTGTGGTGAGGCACAAATACGTGTTATACCATACCAGAGCACTCATCATGGCCGGCGGCACGTCGCCAGCAGCAGCCACGGCCGGCATGTATCAATCTACATGAAATATTTTCCAAGTTTTAAGGGCTAATATACAGAGAAATCTATGATGTGGATGTCCAATAGATGCGTGGAATTACCAATGTTGAGAGCGTGTTAGTGTACTAACATCTAAATATTGAGATGAACCCTCTCCTTCCTCCCATAGCCCCCACCTCCAGGTTTTGTTCTTCTGAAACTTGTTTCAAAAATGATTGGTATCGTCTGAAATGTCAAAAACAGAAGTTTTAGCCTACAGGTGTGGCAGTAAAATATGAGATACAACCTCCCACCGCCTATTTTTTTACATTTAAAATTTGTTTTCAAAAAAACTTTGGCGTTTTTCCGCCTTCATTGGACCCATTTTCATAAACTACAAAGCTCTTTCATAGTAGTAACATTGTGTAAGCGTTTCATCCAAATCCAAGCAAAACTTCGGGTTATAGGATTATCGTACAGGCCGACAGACAGACATTCTTGTGTCAAAATATGATCAGAACCAGAATGGTACATCTCAAGTTATTGAGGATTAGAGTATTATTATTTTTTCTGGAAACATATAAAGCTTTGGCATGGTAGTATCCTTGTATTTTCAGCAAAATCCATCTGGTACATTTTAAATTATAGAAACGGACTAGGACCAGCTGACATACAGCCAGGAACGAAGGATTCGTGATAGAATAATAATCGAAAAAACACACAATCTTAATTGCGAAAAGGTGTCATTATTTTTGAAAATTCTCCTAAACTACCTCGCTGGCTATAACCTGCAAAATGGCCGCCCAACTGAGCCGTTTGGCATATCCCCTCATCTGCTATCCCTCACTTCCATAGTACCCTGTGCTGTTACATGCCCAGGGTTGCCATATTGGGCGACTTTCCCTCAAATTTAGTGTATTTCTCATACCCTTGGGGATTTGTTGAGGGATTTAATGTTCTGCGAGATTTTTTGAACAGAAACAAATTTTGGCGTCTTTCATTGCATTTTTAATCACGTGAAACTGTCCACCGCTGAATGACAATTTTATATTTTCTTTCCTGGTGACCGTACTTATTCCCATAAAACAGAATCAGAAAAAATAGAATAGTAAGATGTGAACTGATCTATCTATCCTCGTCTCACACGAGTGTTTCGGGAGAGAGAGAGAGAGCTAGATGGCTGCTTAGCTTCTCTTCGCTCGGCTCCCCCACGTATCTTGAAAAGTGACATTGACGGTTTTCTTTGACATTATATTGTTTTTTTGTGATATCATATAGATTTTTCTACAAGATGTTAACTTAGCAATAGCTGACGGACACTCGTCATTTTGTAGTTGTACGTGTTGCCTAAATGTCATGATGCTTCAGTTATCAATGTTTGGCTCTGATGTGGTGTAAAATCTGCTTCAGAGATTATTGCATTATTGATGATCTATGCTGTAAGTTGTATACTATAGCTTTACATAAACGGTAGCGCATAGGTGCATAGTGAGGATTTGTGCGCTAATATGTGTTGATGATAATTTCATTGGTTTCTTGTCTCAAATAATTTCATTGGTGTCTTGTCTCAAATACACTTACTTGATTCATTCTATGCTACAGACAGAAATATTTTTGTAAGTGAACAGGTATTAGTTAATTTTTATTTCCAGTCACTTAAATTTTATAGAAATTTATTTTGCGATATCAGTAGAAAATACAAATCAGCGCCTAGATATGAGGTATTACAAAAATCTTTGAAGTGTGATGTGTGGTTCCTAATTTTTCTGTGATGTGGCTCAATTGCATACAACGCGGGCGCGGTGGCGATATCTCGTAATGCTACTCAAAGTTTTTGAAAACCCAAAAAACGAGAAAATCGTAATTTATATCTTTGAACCTGCGTTCAGAAAGGACAGCATACTATATTAATAACCCGTCGAGCACCGCTAATAGATATCGCATATTCAGTAATAATTTTCACACAGAAAATGCCACAGATTTTATATACAACTGCAGACCAATACAAATAATCATCCATTCAACCAACTTTCTTTCTTTCACATCTCACAGATAAATTCGGCTTCACAAAACTTATACGTGCTTTCTGTAACCAACAATGCAGTCTGCAAGATGACATTTATTGTTTTTTTGACCTTTTATAAGTTTTTTACATAATAGCCGTGTCGATTTGCTCACCTTGTACATTCCCGGGTCTGCGATACCCAAATCGCATAATGCTGAATGCGTTTATCATTTTTCAATGTCAAACTTTTAATTCTCTTATGAGTACTAAACTAATGCGTGTTAATTTCTCGCGTAGGCACCTGAAAAGCAGCCATCTAGTAGGGAATCACTTACAGGTTTTAGGAATAACGTCTGTTTTCAAATTTATAATATAATAATAAAATAATATCCCTATTACTGATGGGTGATTTGGGGGATTGTTTTAAAATAGCTGCAATTAATAATTATCTGCTTCTTCTGAGGGGCCTTTGCCTGAACGGTCTGGCAACGCTGCAATCGCTAAACACAACTATCAGATTCTGAGGCTCTGGCTTTGACAGTGTACAAACTTTCTTTCAAAAATAATCCCAAAATGAGCGACTTTTTCTTTGAAGAAGAGGAAGATTATGGAGAGTACGACTTGGAATACTCTGAGGAAAGTACCTCTGAACCGGATGTCGACCTCGAAAACCAGTATTATCTAGCAAAGGCCTTGAAGGAAGAAAACTTGGAAAACTCTATAGCCGCTTTTCAAAAAGTTTTGGACCTTCAGGGTGATCTGAAAGGAGAATGGGGGTTCAAATCGTTAAAACAACTGGTAAAAATTCATTTTCAAATGAAAAATTATTCCGAGACTATGGAAAAATATCAGGAGCTACTTGGTAAGTGCTAGCAAGAAGAATAAATACATACCTGTTGGAAAATTTGAAGCTTACCGCTCACTTGTTGGTCCAAACACTAAATGTATTCAATCAACCAGTTAGGTACATTTATTCAAAGTCTGTTTTCGATAAAACCATAAGCCAACCCGAACCGATATGGAATTTTATACATTTCTTATATATTTTATTTGAATTTCTGAATGATTTCTCCAAGTAGCAATGTAGCAGTAGCAACACAAAACATATATACTGAAGAAGGTAGAGTCCCGTGCTATCCATAGAGCAATGTGGCTGACATCTGTCAGTGTCAAGCCGCCATTTTTGCTGGATGCAACCAGAGCCGCTTTCCAGTGCCTTTGAATTCAGAGTTGTATGCACCCGGAGTGTGACGCTCCCGAACTGCTCTAGCAAATGTGCACGGGAACGCGGCGATAAAAACCTAACCTAATATTTTTGATGTTTTACTTTGACAATGACAATTTGTATCACACTGCCAAGCAATAAACACATTTCGCATTTATTTTCAGAAGCATTGTCAGACTATCCAATTGATGCCTGAAGATGCTTTTAGAATGATCTTTATTATTCAGGAACATCTCAAATGTACGTTATGACTCTTGACAGTAGATTTCAAATGCCCCATAGAAAAAAGTCTAATGACGCTCTATCCATTTATCTGCAAATTCGACGTCTAGCCATTGCCGAAACGGAAGAACATAGTGAGGAGTAGTGCCGTCTCCAAGCATGATCGTGAATCATTAGTTGCTTGTGAACTGGCGATTTTCTGACCTAAGTCAAAGTTAGCTCCTGACCTGAGCTAAGTTGTTGATCGTAAGCACGATTTTAAGAGGAACGTACCATACCTGTCAACTGTCAAAGAACGAATAATAAAACAATAGTCAGAGTATACGTTTTGTGATGTATTAGACGTTGTTGGTTTCTAGTTATAGTTTTTATTTTCTGTTTTAAATTCTAGTTCTAAAAAATAGTGGTTTTAACTGCTCATTTCCTGTTTGGGCTTGTAACTGTTATAATTAACAATAAAACTGTTGCATACTTAGTCGTAATTTTGAATAAATGATCACTTCGATCCACAGACTCTGATAAAGTGATATTAATCATTACTAATGATAAACTTTAATTCGTATTTCCTCCTAATTAATCACTAAATAGAGACTATGAGAAATTATTTACAAACATTAAAGATACCTAACCTCAATTATGAACGTTAAGCATTCAAAAACGTCGTTTTTGGCACCCACTTACACCAGCTAAGATATCTCAGACAAAAATCCCGGTGTCTTAACAACGGGAAGGGAGAGGTAATATTCTAAGTTGTGTAAAATCGTAAGCGTCGCTCAGCTAGTTTTATTTACATAGGTTCGGTCAGAATGTGTGCTGTTCGTAAGCAACTATTGTCTACCCTTAGCTATTTCTGTTTGGTCTCCTGCACTGCCTTGCATAAACGATATACCCACGCTCTAAGCTTCTAAAAAAAGCAAAACTGCAGAGTTGGATACCCCTTAAATAAATGCACTCTAACAGGTTATAATTTGAAACCCTTTCGGATGACGTCATGGTTGAGGTGCGCTGCCAAGTGTCGTAAAATAGGCTGATTTGAATGGATACAAGTTGGACCGGTCAGGGTCAGGTGAATAACTTGCCAAAGAATTGGTTCACAGGAGACCCATTGAAAACGGCCGGACCGCAAAAGAGCAATGGCAAAGTGTACGGAGTAAAAATAGTACAGTGACGCAATTATCAGAGTGAAGAAAGATCATATCAGCTCCATGTACTGAAAGATAGACAAGTCAGCTGTGGTAAAATACTGATCCGATATAGACTAGAAACCCTCTAAGTGTGATTTGGCATACAGGTATTCATGGCAAAAGCGATCTGTTGTCCTTGTCAATAAGTTCTGAGCTAGTAGGTTACAGGAAAGTAGATAAATAACACGAAATATTTCTGCGGAATGACGTTCGGAAACAAATAGTGGATGGCGGTTCAGATTGTAAAAAGGGCGTGAGTTTTTTCCTTAATGCTATAATTTAAACTTTTGGCGATACAACCGCTTCCTTGCTGTATTTCATGAAACTTTAAAAATGAAATTGATCAGAAAGTTGGTTATTAAGATTTTTTTTAAATAAAACCAAAACCGAAAACTCTGGACTTTCTGTCAAAGACTGTGAAAATAACTATATTGATTTGCGATGACAACATTATATGAAGTTAACTTTATTGTCAATGATTAATACTTTGAAGATACAAAAAATGTAGATTCAATTTTCTTAAATCTAATAATCACTTCCAAATGCGGAATAAACTCTACTAAAATAGGCCCCTTCTATAAGAAACCCGTTACAAATAGAATGGCAAAGCAAAAATATTTGTACGATAAAAATTGATAATATTATGATGATAAGATTGCAAATAAGTAAGCCTCAGACAACTCTCACATATCGTGTGCCATGCCCAACCTGAAGGTCTTATACCTATCTGGGAAACTACTCTTGGAAAATATTTGAAATCATGGATATTTATTTTTGTTCTGCTTGTTGAGGTCCAGAGTTTATTTTTTTAAATTAGGCATAAGCATGAAGTTTTTGTGGGGTATTTTGTTTACGGTGAACATTGAAATGACCAAGAAAATAATATATTTTTCATAAGAGAACATGTAAATGTAACAAGGAACAGACACGTGTCAATATAAAACCTTGAAGAACAAAAATCCAGACATATCTATAAATTGAGACTGACCAAAGACCAAATATCACCTTAAAAAATCCAAACGTCAAAAGCCAGGCTATTTGCTTAGGGCTAAGAAGTACTTTTCTCCACATAACCTCCTCCACTCTACAGGGTTATCCAAATTAAGTGTCCACCATTAGTAACTTTGTTATTAGTGAAAATACAAAGTTGTTTGAATTAGCAAACTAGTAGCATTTTTAACGCTGGTAAAAATGAGGAATAAAAAAAAACAATTGAGAGTCGTTATTTTGATTTTTTTCAGTAAAATAACATTTTTTTAAATGGAAACCCCTGTATATTATATTTTTTTCTGTTAAAGCATCAAATTTTAAACAAAAAAGCTTACAATAACTTTTCTCCTAGGTTACAAAATGTTGAAGTTATGGCCTCCAATCTGAAACAATTAAATTGTATCGACAAACTTTATTTTCAACATCAACTTATAATCTTACAAAATACAATAACAATTTTTTTTAAAGAAGATGCTCGAAAACACCACCTTGTTCTTCAATACATTTTTGGGCACGTTTTTCAACTGCTCGAACTGTCTTAAGTATGGTCCTACCATCTATCTGGGTTATCTTTTCCCTAACTGCAGTCTTTAACGCGTCAAGGTTATCGTACCTTCGCTTGTAAATTTGGTTGTTTAAGTAACCCCACAAGAAGTAATCAAGTGGGTTTAGATCTGGTGATCTGGGAGGCCACTGTATTGGGCCATTTGTTCCTATCCACTGATCATTAAAAGTAGTACTTAGAAAATGATAAGTACCTCTGGAGTTGTGGGCAGGTGCGCCATCTTGCTGAAAATGCAGATGATGTCTACTTATAAGATCCAATTCGTCTAAGAAATTAGTCAGAATTTCTGACATAAATTCCACATATCTTTCACCAGTTAGGGTTCCCTCATAAAAGAACGGGCCAACAATTTTTGAACCAATTATACCGCACCAAACGTTGAAACTGAAACGGACTTGTGGGCCTCTTGGATGTACTAACAAAAGATTTTCTCTTGACCAATAATGGTGGTTTTTTCTATTAAACGTTCCAGAATTTGAAAAATTTGATTCATCTGTCCATAAAAGGTAACGAAAGTTATTTACATTTTGGCGACAGAAGCTAAGATACCAATGGCAAAAAACAAGTCTTCTCTCTGGATCCCCTGCCAAAAGCGTTTGAACTGGTCGGTACTTATACGGAATAAATTTGTATTTTTTTAAAATCCTTTGAACAGTACCATAACTGAAATTAGAGTCCTTGAGAATATCTGCTATTGAATTCTCACGATAAGCTTCAAAATATCCAATAACTGCAATTTCCGTGGCCTCGCTTATTATGAATTCTTTTTTTGCCCTTGTTTTAGCAAAAACATTTTCGTTGCCCCTAAATTTTCGATAAAGTCTCAGAAAATATCGTTCATACGGTTGAATGCGAGCGGGATATAATTCACTGCTTGCTCTCAAGGAGGATTTTCTGCACACTAAATAGCATTCTAACATATCACACTTTTCTTCATGGGAGAACATTTTTCTTTAAATTAATGACACAATAAAGCTTATAAACAAGTATTTACACTAATGTTTGACATTATTTGATTTTATCATTGTTTTCCAAAGCCTTCTAGTTGCGAGTATGTCCAGTTTAACAATTTGTCGCTTATCTTAATGCTGTCAAATCGCGAACGCCATGTTGTTTTCATAGCCGTCTTAATATTATAATACTGCAAATAATTAAAAATATTTATCGTTATTTTGACTTTATTTTTGACTTTAGCGGAAAAGTCATTATGAACTTTTTTGTTTAAAATTTGATGCTTTAACAGAAAAAAATATAATATACAGGGGTTTCCATTTAAAAAAATGTTATTTTACTGAAAAAAATCAAAATAACGACTCTCAATTGTTTTTTTTTATTTCTCATTTTTACCAGAGTTAAAAATGCTACTAGTTTGCTAATTCAAACAACTTTGTATTTTCACTAATAACAAAGTTACTAATGGTGGACACTTAATTTGGATAACCCTGTATACAAGGCCCACAAGGAACTAAGGATAGATTTCGTTCATACTCTGCAGAAACGTGTCAAATCAAAACCTCGAAGATAAAAAAATCCAGACATTCCTATGAATTGCGATCAAAGACGAAATTCCACCCTAAAAAATACAGACGTCACAAGTTTTGCGTGAGTGGTTCTACTTTTCGTGGCCTATAACTTGGGCAACGGTCAGCGATGAGAAGAATTGAGAATTGTTCGAGGCGTTTTTGAA